ATTTAAGATCCCAGAAATAATCAGAAGATGGCCGGAGATTAGAGGCCTAAACAGAAGGAACCGTCTAAGCTGAGCTGGAGCTTCCTCCATGTTCCGATGAGCTAATTCCATTTAATCCAGGTTATTTCTGCAGCTCCAGTTCATAGCACAGGTCCTCTGAAGGCTCTTCCCAGAAACTATTCAGTCAGATTCTACAGACCGCTTGGTTCAGAGGAAAAGCAGCTGATTCCCAGATTTAACTTCTAGAAACTTCTCTAGACTTAATGTCCTGAGCTCTGAGCATCCTGGAGCTCTGAAACTCCACTAAACTTCAAATGAAAATAGAAATCATCCAGTTATCGACTATTGGATATACTGCAGCAGAGAACGCGCTCTAAGTCAGACTTTTATTCTGAAATATTCATTTGACATATGAGCCATTTATTCAGGAAAACTGAAAATAAACTCATCTTTTAATGATTGAAATGAGCCCATTTATAAAGTTACAGCTTTTCCAGACACTTCTAACAGGTACCAGTAACAAAGTACAAATACTTTGTTACTTTACTTAATTAGAAGTTTTGTCTACTGGGCTACTTTACTGGAGTATTTGTTATTAAGACAACTTTTTACTTCTACTTCTTTTTAGCAATTATCTCTATTTTCTACTCCTTACATTTTAAACTTAGACTCGTTAGTTTTGTTCCATTTAAATAAAAACACTAAAGTAAGTACTTTCATCTAGACAATTTCTTTGTGGTTGGACTCAGTGCTGCCCCAACTTGTTGCTCATCACATACCAAACTAAATAGTTTTTTTTCCCAGATGACGCAAAGTTAAATGTGACGCTGTTACCATTAGTTATAAAACTAAGAAAAAAAAGTGTTATTAAGTTATCATCCAGAATTATAGACAAATGTTCCTTTAATAGAGTAGAGCAGTAAAGCTTCTGTCCTTAACAGTTTTTCCTGCATTACTTTGACTTTTATACTTTAAGTAGTTTTAAAAATGGTACTTTTATACTTTTACTGGAGTAAAAAGCTGAAGTTGATCCTCTAACTTCTAATTTCAATCTGTTTGGGAACCATTTCTATCATACTTAAATTCCACCAATATTGCAATAAATTGAAAGATTCTATGGTTTTAATTTAAATTCTTACTTTATTTAATCAAATCCAATTTGTTTATTCTGATGCCGGCCTACATTTAAAAAACAAAAACTGAAATCTACTGTTGGTACGGTTTCTTTTGATTCATTATTATTACTATTGAAAAACAGAAAGTATTTTGTAAGCATGATGACGATTTATTGTTTCTACTTCTGACTTTTCAATAAAGAGATTTATTATAAAAAATAAAAAAACATGATTAATTTGGACACCTCTGCTTCCTGATTACAACATGATGCAACACTGGAGGAGGAGGNCAACATCCCAGAGTTTACGTCATCTTTGGGCTTCGTTTGGATTCGCTCGTTATATGGTGGAAGTTTAGAATTGTGAGATTTGCAGAGAAAGGAGGAGTCAATGGGGTTTGAACTTCTCTGTACGTCCATTTCGCCCACTGAACTATCGTTAGTTATCTAGGACAATGGAAACTCAGTTTCGCTTTCGATGACCCCTTTAAAAAAGGAACCCTAGGGAACCAGCTAAGGACCAGGCAAGGACCCATCTAGGTAAGTGAGGAAATTTTGAATGGCTGCTTCTGTACAAAGAAGACAAGAAAACATGCAGTTGACATAAAATAAAGAACTGAGGAAGAGTTAAAGAGCATCGTGGCAGATATTGAAAAAAAAGATGCAATTATTCCACAATGTGAAGCATCAAGGTTATTGTCCAGGAGGTTTTCGTCTGATCCAGATTTCTTTATGCAGGATTTAAATCAGACTCAGAAGGACCAGGGGAGGGAGATGTGGACAGCAGGAGATCCTATAACTACGACGACATCGATGAGGTGGCCGAGGATCAGCCTTTGACCCCCCAGGGCTCTGTGGTCCACGCAACTAAACCAGATAAAACGGATAAAGGTCTCACTAAGTTTTAAGCATATTTTAATCCTATCTTTATACATTACTAACACAATGCACCTGGCCAAATGTGCTTCTTCCTTTAACAGATTCCGTGACCTATGAAGTGGAAGAGTCGCAGGAGAATTACGACGACATTGATGCCAGCCCAGAGGATACGGAAACCACAGCCGAGGTCCATGACGGCCCGAGACCGGCACCCGAAGGTGACGCAGGAGTGCCTAAAGAGCAGGCCCAGAATAACGAAGATTATCTGGTGCCGGGTCAAGATGGGTGAGCCTGAACCAGCAGAAAATTGAAATCTATCAAAATTCTGTGTATGGAAAAAAAAAAAAAGCTGGTTTGAATTAAACCTGTTTGTGACTTAAGTATAAACAATAGATAATTCTAAACCTGAAGAGGATCGACAAACCTTTGTCATTTCAAATAAACTATAATATCAGAACTGTTTCAGTTGTGACTTTATGTTAACGCTTTAATTAATGCTTTACTTCCAAATGATGATAAAACGTAACAATAAACATGACATTAAATGCGACACTTAAGCTACAAATGAGTTAAATCTATGAGGTCAGCAGGTAGAATAAACTACCCTTCAATTTTATCTTCGGTTGTAACAGTTGTTTTGTAATGTGGGGTTTTTATTCCAGTGGATAATCTTACAAAAAATGCCTGATTTGTTGTAAACTGCACCTTGAGAATATGCTAATTCTTTCTCCTGCCTGTAGGGGTACGTCAAGCTTCATTAAGGAGGCAGGAGATCCGGTTACATATTTGTTAAAGGAAAAGTCCGGTCATCAAGGAATGATCAACGGATCATTATTTATACCTAAAACTAATAAGTTTGTGGTGATTTAATGAATTTAGCGTTATTAGTAAGAAAATTAAATAATTTTCATTGTGATCACTGAGTCTGGGAGCGGCCATTTTTGCCCAGATATAGTAACCCCTCCCTCCTGCCATCTTCTGGCAGTGACGTCACTGTGCGGTAAGCCTAGCGCCATTCTTCCCGCTTTACAAGCAAAATATCAACAATTATTGAAGATTTCCAGAGGACTTCACCATTGAAATTCACCAGAGCTATAGTGAAACTGACAATGCCCACGTGCATGGCAGCTGGATGCTGGAATTACTGATTTAAGTCATAAAAACTTGCTTTAGTCATGATTTCAGCCTCCATAATGCAGTGTATCTAAGGCCCAAAGTATGAACTGTTGTGCAACATGTGACCTAAATCTGATGTGATGCATATGTTTGCTCCTCTTAGTCTCTGAAAGTGCTGCGGACGTCAGAGTTCCTTCCCTATGTGGTGTTCCTTCAGTCTCCTGACTTCGAGGTGCTACAGGCGATGAATCGCTCAGCTGTGGAGGCGGGGGTGGTCACCAAGACCCTGATGGTATGGCAGAACGCAACTTTTTCACATCACGTGTGTTTCAGAAGTTTGAGAAAAAAGCCAAGCTGTGCGTTCTCTGTTGCAGGACGAAGAGCTGCACAGGACATGTGATGAGAGCGCCAAAATAAAAGCAGCCTTTGGTCACTTCTTTGACCTGACCATCATCAATGACAACCTTGATGAGACCTATCGCACTGTCAAAGCTGCCCTGGAAACGGTTTCCAAAAACCCACAATGGGTCCCGGTTACCTGGGTGTTCTAAGGACCAGGAAAACCGACTGCATTTCTCAGTACTCATATTTAGATTGTCCTCAGTTCCAACAGAAGAATTGTGTTAGCATTAGACTGGATTAGACCTCTGTAACTAAAGCTCCACCAAACAGCTAGGACTTTGTGTGTGAATATAGTGACAGTCTCAATGTGGGGACTGGGGATCCCTTCGATACCAGAAGTCGATTCTGTTGGAAAATGTCTCCTCAGAAAAACTGTGTATGTGCATGCATGTGCATGTCTCTGCTTTCCTGAAGACTTCAACATTTTGTAGATTTACATCGTACTTCTGAACATCAGCAGATCGTACCGTTGGTTACGTTTCACAAAGGAGCTCAGACCTTCACAAAGGGTCAGAATGTCACCATGTGCCAAACGATTCATTTCAGACACAAAATGAATCCTCCCAAACTAGAATAAATATTTTTATACTTTCTGTTTAAAATGTTTTGACATTCAGCCAAAATAATGTAAGAAAGTTCATCCAGATTTTTTTTAAACATGTAATTTTTTTTTAAATCCCCACCTTAAAGGGCCATGTCACGTACTATGCCTATAAAAGGAAACATCCAATCCATCTATGCTTATTAAAATAAAGCAATATATTCCTATTGTTCCTAATCACAGTGTTTACTTAGTCCTTTTTTGACTCCAAAGGAATAATTTGGTATTATCCCTCTTAGCATCTTATTTTTCTTTGCACTTTTTTACACTTGAGGAAAAACTGACATGTGT